CTCTGTGCTCCCCAGTCCTTGGCAGCAGCCATGTTTCATGGGAAAACCTGGCGTCCACCCAACAATAACCATTCCTTTCAGCCCCATGACAATCAGGCTGCGGGCAACCCGATTCTTTTAGGGAGTCATGCTAACCCGGTAGTGCTTCTGGCCTGTGGATGCTTGTGACAGATGAGAACCTGGCACTCAGGGGTTTAAGTGGAATAGGTAAGTGGTTCAGGTCATGAAAAGACCAGGTAGTCTCCCCTGTGCAGGGCTCTGCAAGCGCATAAAAATAGGCCGGGGCTCCCTGCACCTCCTGCCCAGCTGCTCACTGGTGGAGGATTACTGCAGTCACATGGGCTGCGTTTTAGCAAAGCTGGGCGCCTGTGAGCCAAGAAGGTCACGGGGAGACATGGCTCAGAAGTCTCTGTGCTGCCCTCCCCTGTCCCTGTGAGGAGGGGACACAACTTGCAGAAGAGACACTGCTTACTTGAAAGCCAGTCCACTGAACTGAGCGGTGGGCCATGCGCTCCATCAGGACTCCTTTGCCAGCAGACACTAGCTACGTGTGGCTATGTGAAGTGAAATGAAAATGAAATTTTCATAAAATTCAGGTGCTTAGGCCATGTGTACCTAGTGGGTTATTTAAAATGTGGCCAATATGACTGAAGAACTGAATTTTTAATTGACATTAATTTACAGTGAAACAAAACTAAGAATAGGTAATGCTTCAGCTTGTTTCAACTGAGATCATTCTAGATCTCAGGTTTCCTACAAATGCCCTTAGCAATAAGAGGGTCGGTCAACGAAGGGCCACTTGTGGGAGGGTGGCCTAAAACCCACAGCTGCCACAAGCTCTGCTCTTCAGGGATTTTCCTAAGAGTCTCGCATCCTGGGACCTCAAATAAAAGCTCCTATCGTCTAGTCCCAGAAGGCCTGAATTTACCACCTTTGTATTAAAAGTACAAACACATAGACTAAAGAATAAAAAAGTTTAAGTACAACAAAACCAAAAGTACAAATACCATCACAGAATGCAACTGTACCTAGAAATGTACTGTCCTTTTTACTTTCAATACTGAGGGGAAAAAGAGATTCTGCGCATGCCAGCAGGATGGCGGGGCTTACTTACACTAGTCTTGTGTGCTGTGGAGATCATGCATTTGTGAGGATGATGAAAACAGGGGTTCATGTGAACAGTGTGAGGTGTCAGGCACTGTGCTAAGCCGTTTAGAGGCATTGTCCTGTTTCTAGGACTCGTGTCATTTGAGTCTGCCCTATTAGTATCCCAAGTTTCTGGCGAGAGTTTAGAGGAGGCGAACTTGCTAGCCTAAGATGACAGAGGTTGGGAGGGGCCCTGCTTCTAGAGAGCCTCCTGGCTTCTTTCCCTTCTTAATCTCACAGCTACACCAGATCCTTACAAATTTCACAGGCCCTTCTCATCTCTTTCTATGGAAGAGATTCTTAACCTTTTGGGGAAGAGATCAGGGTGGGAAGATCAGAGTCTCTGATCTGTCACTGATCAAAGGTATGGATCCCAGAAAAACACAAGTATTTTTGTAGAGTGTTACTCAGGGTCCATGGACTGCTAGGTTGAGGGCGCTGTAAGGGTCCTTTGATAATACAGACCAGCAAGGTTTCCCTGGACATTGAACACAGTGCTGTCTCCTGTGCGGACCTGCTGCTCCTGGTCTCTGCAGAACAGGAATCTGCCCCCAGGTGCTCACATTAGGACCCACCTAAGTGCCCTGCCCCATCTCAGACTCACGTTTCCATCATTATCTACACGTTTTCCTTTTATCCTTCTTGCTAAAAAGTTCCTTTTTGTTTTTTTAAAAAAAGATGTTTAGCCTGGAGACATGCTCCCCAGAGTGGGCTGTACCACTTCTCCCCATGCCCGCCCCAACTATTTATTTCTTATTGTGTGCAGGTGGGGGTGGGGCCGGGCCTCCTGCCATCCTGCCACCTCCGCCTATGTTGTAACCAGTTCTCCGTACTTAATAAAAGTGCGTGTGACAGCAAAAAAAAAAAAAAAGATGTTTAACTAGAGAAGCATATGTGTTTTCAAATCTTTAGTAAGGGAAAAGAAAACAGGAATATAAAAAGGCAAAGGTAATTTTAGTGTGCAGAGATGACAGCAGGATTTGGTTTCTCAAAGAAATTTTAAAATGGATTTTGTTAGATGTGGCAAGTGGAATAGGTGGTAATACACTTGTTTATAGTATAACAAGGGTGAGTGGGGGTCTTTCTGTTCTGGGGAATTTTATGTAGAAGAATTTTTTTTTTTAAATTTACTTGCCACTAGGCCACCAGAGCTCCCTTATGTAGAAGAATTTTAAGAGAACCTCAATGAAAGCACTTGAACTTTATAGGGAGCTCTGGTGGCCTAATGGCAAGAAGCTGCATTGCAGTCCCAAAGGCACACGGTTTGAATCCACCAGATGCTCTGCTGGAGATGGAGGGCAATCTCCTCCTGTACCAGTTGAATCTGATTTGAAGGTACACTACAAACTTCCACCTCAAAACAAACAAACCACTTAAAACCTAAGCAGTAAGACCAGTGTCAGAACCAGGCCAGGCCAGGTAGCTCACTGAAGAGAACACAAGGGTGTGGTATCTTCCTTGCCCCCCGCCCCCAAATTGTGCTGTTTATTTCTGTACAATGTGGTGCCCTATCATCAGCTTTCATTCTTAAAGACTTGGCCCTCCAGCCCACAGACCCTCCCTTTCAGGGTATGCAGACGCAGTGGCCCTATGCCTCCACCAGAGCAGCCACGGCAGTGGCTGAGACTGAGGCTGTGTGTCAGGCCAAGGGACAGAAGCATCCTGGGAAATCCCTACAGTGTCCCAATCAGGAGCAGGAGGCAGGACTAAGGATGGCCTCAGTGAGAAAGCATGGGGAGCAAATGAGCCAGCTGGCCTGCTCCGGGCAGAAACCTCCACTCTCCTGGGCCTTCCCACACACTCCCAGCCCTGACCCTCAGGACCGAGCTCCTTAAGAGGGGTCACGAGCCTGAAGGGCCAGGGCACAGGCTGCGATGTCCAGTGACGTTACTTCCATCTGAATACAACCCACTTCCTCCCAACTGCCTCTGATTCGAAATAGCATCCTTTTGTGAAAGAAAATGAAAAGAAGACATGCTCTCTACTGAAAGATGGTTTGCTCACCGAAAATACTGCAGTTTGACAGCCAGCTGACAACTGATGCTGTGAATTCTGCAAGTGCAGAAACGCAGGGACCTGTGGCCTCCCCCAGGAAGAAGCCTCTGCATCTTAGTCTTTACATTCAACAAAACCATGAAATTGCATCCTAAGGGTCTAAAACACTTAGTCATCTTTTTATAAAAGAACCCAAGTGAAATACAGCTAAGCTAGCGTCCAAGAAGTCCCTTCAGTGCTGGGTACAGTAGTCCAGAAAAAGAAAGGAGAGCCTTCGGAGTACAAGGTCCTTGTTGGGTCTGTCTCAGGGACCCAAAACTTACTTCTGCAAGCTCAGGTATGGAACACACTCTGCCACAGCACACCGCCTCACACCCTTACACTTTCTCCTGCTCCTCCCACTGGGCACTGAACTTGACTGAGGTCCACCTAAGCTGGCCTTCCATACTGAGAGTCAGTCCAGAAGATGCTGAAACTCTTTCTGCCTCAGATTTGAACACTATCCAAAATGCTCTTAGAAGAGCTCTTTGCTAGTAGGACATTTCTTTAAACCAAACTCTGAAATCTGGGCTGTATTCTTTTTCCCAGTAGTATCCATTTCCTAGTTAGTTCTATGCCCACAAACAACACTTGTTCTGTTATCATCTAGTTTTTCCCGCTAATAACCTTGGTCTGCTGGCATCACAAGCTTGTCACCATTGAGTGACAAGTAGGGGCTAAAGGACTCCATCTGAAAGAAAAACGGGAAACCTCCCCCAAGTCTGGCCAGATACCAAACCTACTGGTTAGCTGAGGAAGCTGGTTCCAGGTCCAGAGCACGTCCTACAGAGCGCTGGGTAAATGTGTTAGGAGACAGATGTTGTATCAGCAAACTTAGATTCATTCTCTAGGGTCCCAAGAAGCAGATGAAATGTTTAAGAGACTCATACAGACTCTCAGAGAATGGGCCTGACCTTTGTCTTGACCAGTTTTCTTTTTTTTTTTTTCAGTTTTCTTTTTTAAATTTTATTATTATTATTTTTTTTTTCTGTGTGTATATACCACCAAATCAGATCTGACTGGTACAGGAGGAGACTGTCCCTCCTCCAGCAAAGCATCTGGTGGATTCATACCGCACACCTCTCGGATTGCAGTGCAGCTTCTTGCACTGGGCTACCAGAGCTCGCCTTGACCAGCTTTTTCTGAGGCACTTCCCCAGCAGCTGAGGTGCTGGAAGTGACCCTTAGCATCTGCTGAGTGGAGCCAAAGAGTGGGGCTGGAGCTGTGCATTCCTTCCACCAGATTTCTATGAACTAGTTTCTCTTTTGTTTTTCTCAGAGAGGTGACAACATCCAGGAAGTCAATGAGCTGGGAGAGAACGCACGGTGGCAGCACGTGATGTGAAACACAGGGGTGTTTAGTGAAGGGACAAGTACTGGAAGGAAGACCCACAGGAAAGCATCTTCCTCTGAGCCTGCTGCCAGCCCTGTGGATGCGGGAGACAGTGCTGCCCTAGGAGAGGATAGGAGTATGACTGATGGGAGATGGAACGACAAAACGTGCCCAACAAGATGGTAAAGCCTGCCCCCCCCCCCATCCTCACACGACCCCAACAACTCCCGTCCCAGTAAAGCAATCACTTTTCAAATAACCAATTCAATTAGGTAGCCACTGTCCTGGCCTTTCTTTCAGAAAGCCCTAAGTCTATTAGTGAACGGAACTAGAGGCTCTTAGAATATTCCTAGGCCTCAACTGCCTACAAGTAAAGAACGACTCCAATCAAAGCTCAAGCTCTTTCTGAAGGCTTTGCTGTCAGTCACACCACGAAGGTTTAAGTAGAAACAGGGAAGAAATTCAATAAAATATATATGCTTTCTTACCATTAGCATCTTGGACTCCAGTAAGTGCTCCAACAGCTGCTGCGGTTTCCCCAGACAGGACGATCTGTCCCCCCCCTTGTAAGGTGGCCTCAGCCAGCGTGGCAACGGCATGGGCGGCAGCTTCACTGTGGGCACAAGGGTAGGACAGGATGTGTAAGAAGAGTGAAAGGAGAGCCCCGTGGCAGACTAACGACCCCCTCCACCTTCCCGATCGCGAGCAACCCGGAGCTTATGAGCCAACCTGCACATACGTGACACTAGTTGATAATGGACTGAGCCAGTAGTGATGGTCAAATGATAACCACAACTAGTGAGAGAAATCCAGTCTTACATATTTGCAAAACTAACGCGCCCTTCCTTAAGCCCAGAAAGTGGCGCCTGAGCAGAGAGGCACTCATCCCCAGCACCTCCTTTTCTGCATCAGCCGAGCGCCCGACACCCCACTGGAAGCTCTGACCCACGATCCACGCGCAACACAAAGGCCACTGTGGCTGTTAATCATGATGCTGGTGTTTTCTCTTTTCTCTTAGGGTAACATAACGCGGAGAGGCTAATATGAGGAGGCAGCAGCCCAACACTAGTTAACCAAATAATATAATACCAAATATAACCAAATATATAATACCAAATAATAACAATTTGGCAGACATGCTTCTTTTTCATACACACAGTAAGGGGCAGCTAACAGTCAGAAAAGCTTCGCTCTTCCCTGCTTCACTGCACATGCAGGGAAGAGCTAAGCTGAAAACTTAAGATTCTCACTGGAAGCCCAAACTCCTTGACTTCTCAAGCAGCGAAATACTAAACCTCCCTTCACTGTGGAGCAAATGATTTAAAGAGAAGGCGACTAACCATCTGTTTAATGAAAAAGGAGCCTATTCTAAGCATCTCCCACATTTTTTTCTTTCCCCTCATCAATCCTTTTCTTGAAACCTATTTATTTACCCATCTTTATTGATCTTATGATGCTACAAACTGTCAAGTATACTAATACTGTGCCAGCTAAAAAGAAAATTTTCTGGAAATTAGAATTAAATTTCAGAGACACTAAAATACTAGGGATAAAAAGAGATACATTTGGTATCTCTCCTTGGAAGGTATCAGGTGCTGGCTTGTACTGACGCATGGCTGTGGAGAAGCCAGGGCAGTGCCATGCAGTTCGGCAGAGGGGACAAAGGCTGATCCTATCAGTCACTGCCGCAGCTCAGCTCCAATCCACGGGGCTGTGGGCGGCCATCTTTAGTCAGCAGCATGGCTGTGAGGCTGCGTGTCGAGATATATATATATAAAATTTAGAAATATCACACAGAGAGAAGCACAACTTTAAACAAATAATTAGGATCAGATTTATACCTATAGTTTTATAGGTTGCTTTTTTCATTTACTAATCTATTTCCTTATGTAAATTATTTTGTCATTTATATAAATGGCAAACCCAACCTGTTGAATTTTCCTTTTCAAGTCATGTAGGTGTGGTAACTGCTTCTATGTTGAAGAAACAATTTCATTTTCAGGCACCACCTGATTTAGTTCAAGGTCATAATTACATATTTTAAATTTATTTCCATATTCAAATTGTGGGCTAGGATTCAGGTTCAGTAAAATGTTGAAAAGACTCCAGGGCTGACACGCTGTCCACATACAAGATGAGACCATGACTGATGCCAAAATGCACACTTCTCAGAGACTGTGGCCCACGGTTGTCACCACACAGTAGCTGTCATGTGAACTCTAAGCAAAAGAGGGCACTTGATTTCTACAGTTATTAGGGAGTTTTAGCGGCTTAGTGGGTAAGGAGTTGAGCTGTCAATGCAGAGGCGGGTAGTTCAAATCCACCAGCTTCTCCAAGGGAGAAAGATGGGCAATCTCTTTCTGTACAATTTTAACCCTCTGAAAACCTGCTAGAGGGCCAGCTATAAGTCCATTTGACTGGACAGTAATGAGAGAGACCAAGGTTATCTGTCACATTTTTACATGATAAATTTCAAAGTACTTAAGAATTTACCAGACAGTTGAAGAAATAATTACCCAATTTCTTACTTTTTAATATTTTCTAAGAAATGTGTTAATAAATAATAATAAATTTAAAAAAATATTTCATCTATGACCTGACCTTTCATGGAGAACTGAAAAGTACATTTTCCCTGGAGGCAGTTCAATGGTGGTTTGGAGCAAAAAGCCGGCACAGCAAGTGTTTATCTGGAAATAAGAGTCCCTGCTCTTTGGGACCCCATGACTGCTGGGCACCCTGTTGCCCGGGCACAGCTTCTCCTCTGTGACGGAGCTGTGCTGCTCTGTTCTTACCGGCTCACTTTGTGATCCTTCACCTCTTTTCTGAAAGCACAAATTTACTACTCCTTTTGTACTCATTAATACAGATGCTGATTTTTTAATGGCAAGCCTCTCTAGGTTGTTATAAAGCCAGCAGAGGCTAAAGGCTGTTGTGCCAGGGCCTCTGGGCCAAGCTTTTACCAGCACAGCTCAAAGCAGGTTTGTCCTGCATGTGTCCTAATCTCTGTCCCCTCCCAGATGCGGAGCCTCTGCCTCCAGTCCCCACCTGCTATTGCACTCAGCCTCTCGCCGCGCCCCCCATCCCTCGCCCCAATACACACACACTGTTTACGGTGTGCAAGGCAGCAGGTGATGACCAGGGACCCAGGTCTGCTCGACCTGGACCTGAGACTGAGGCAGGCGGCAATGGGCCCAACTGCCAAATCAGTTACCACAGGGACAAGGGCCCACATTCAGCGTTTCACAAAGACAAGTTCTGCGGAGGCTGGGAGTGTGTGGGAGAAAGTGTACCAGCGGCCTCATTCCACACAGCTGCACACACCTTGGGCTTCTGTCTTATAGCAAGGCCAGGCGACTAAAGCAACAGTCAGGACTACCTCGAAGCCTGCTGGAGTCTAGTCTCCAGACCTTTCCGGGCCAAGCTGGGCCTCCTCAACCCACAGAGGCAGCAGTGCCTCCCGGACGAGCTGATTGCAAACAAGTTTCAACACCTTACTCCTCCTCCAGGCCACACTGAACCACATGCTCCTTCCTTTGGAGTAAACAGTGCAGCCACCTCAGCTGCAGGAGTTTGCTAACAAGCCCCGTGGGGAAACCATTACCCTCCCGGCTCTCCCAGCAAAGGGAGCCTGACTGTGCCTCATATTTTCCACTATGTTCAGGGTCCCCAGGACACTGACATGCATTGGAACAGCCGAGGTGCTGCCTAGAAGCTGCAATCAAATCAAAGTCTGAAGGTTTCCATGGCAGCCTGCTGGGTCCCTGTCTTCAGTGTGGAGGGAGGGTCTCAATCTGCCTGTGCCTTTCGGGGGTTTATCTGGGTATTTTTCTCAAAGGAAGAAGTGGAACAGAATCAAAGTGTAAGCAACGAATAAGACTTTGCTGTGACTGCAAGACAATAGGCTGCAGCAGCCCAGGGTGGCTCACCGGCTCACTGGGTAACTCAGAGCTCAGAGTGTGGCTCAGTTCTCAGTAGTTCAGGTCACACTTCCTTCCTGCCTTTTTCTCACCATTCTTCATTTCCAAGGCATGCCTGGACTGCCTCTTCCTAACTGGTCTTCTCTTTCTAATATTGTTTCACTGCAATCAATTCTGAGTAGACCAATTTAAAAATAGCATTTAAATGACAATAAAAAAAAAGATAATTTGTAAAATGCTAACTACAGGCCAGGCACGTTTGATAAGAGATTTAAATACAGAATCCTTTCATTCTGTGACAGGTCCTAGATTCATTACAATGATGGGGAAACTGAGGCTCAGGAGGTTGCTTTTCAAGATCAAATGGCCAGTTAAGTAGCATGATGAGATTCCAACCTGGGCTAGCGACCTCAGAACCTACTGCTCAGCCAGCATGCTCTGTTGCTTCGTGTGAATCTTTCAGGCACAAACCTCACCATGACCCTCTAATAACAGTCACGTCCAATAGAAATTTTAGCTGATTAATCTTCTAGGGGAGTGATCCTCTTTTCTGAATTTCTACAATGTTTGTCATCTGTCTAATTCAACAGTGAGTTAAACTGAGTAATACTGTAGGCAAAGTGTTTTACTTTAAATCGGTCTCCCCAATAGGAGAATAATTTTCCTGAAAGCAGAGAGTATATCTTACTCTATGACCCCAGACCTCCATTCACAGCCTTCCCTAGTAAAATAAGTACAACTGACTATCTAAGATTAGTAACTTGTTGTTAGGTGTCATCAAGTCAGCTATGACTCCGAGTGGCCCTATGAACGAGAGTCAACACCTTTCCCTATGCTACACCGCTCTCATCATTTTCACCCCGCTCAAGCCCACTGTCAGGCTCACTTTGTCAATCCATCTCACTGAGGCACTTACTCTTTTCTTTGCAATCTCCACCTTTCCCAGCATAATTTCTTCTTCCAAAGACTGGCCCTTCCTGGAGACATGCTCTAAGGATCTGAGACAAAGTTTCACATCCCTGCCTCAAAGGAGTACCCTGGTTGAACTTCTTTCAAGGCAGATTCGATTGTACGTTTGGCAGCCCGTGGGATATTCAATACTCTCTGCCAACACGACAATACAAAGGCATAGATTCTTTGGTCATTCTTATTCACTGTCCAACTTTCAGATTCATCTGGTGCAACTGAAAATACCACAGTGCTTCTGAGCTTTGAGTGGTGTTGGAGAAGAGCACTGAACATCCCATGGACAGCCAAGAGAACAAATAGCTGTCTTGGAGAGGGTGCAGCCAGAGTGCTCTTTGGAGGCAAGAATGAATGATGAGTCTTCGCCTCACATACTGTGGGCATGTTGCTAGAAGAGGCTATTCCTTGGAGAAGGACATGATGTTGGGAAGGGTGGAGGGTAGGTGAAGGAGAGGAACATCCTCAACCAGGTGGACTGACACGGTGACTACTGAGATGGGCTGTTGTGTGCCAGGAAGTGTGAGGATGGTGCAGGATAGAGCGGGGTTCAGATCTTTTGCTCATAGGGTCACTACGAGTCGTACTTGACTCGATGACATCTAACAATAACCATCACCACCACCACCACCTCCTGGATAATAACAAGAGTACTATAAACCAAGGCGCAGACCTGCAGACCCACATGCATCAGCTTAGCCAGTTCGCGCAGGCATTATTGTGACCGTCATGTACAGAAGAGGCAGAGTCTAAGCACTGAGGGTGCTTATGGTGAAGTAAACTAAGGTCACGCAGCTAGCAAGTGACAGAGCCAGCACGCAATCTATCTCCAAGGTCCACACTCTTTAACATCGGTTAAAATGCCTGGGTCCACTGAAAATAAAACTGCAATACAAATGTAGACTAAGAAGAGTAATATGACCTTCTCAGCTCTGTCAGTAACTGGCGGGAAGATGAGAGCAGGAAGAATACAAAATAGTTTTAGGAATGACCTCTTACTGGACCCCTCCTTCTGCAGTACCCTTCTTAAGCAAAAAGTCAATTATATTCCTAATATTTAAGGGAAAAAAGTAAATTATATTCCTAATTGCCCAAATTTTATTTCATACTTAAGTCACTAATAAGGAAAATTTCCTGAAAAGCTAGAAAAATTCACTCTTGACCTGTGTGAATATGGCCAAATAATCCTATGGCCAAAAACCCTGTGTCCTTTGTAGAGGAAATCTCTGGTCTCTTTTTTCATTTTTCTTCTTAGTGGGTACCACTGAGTACACAACCATCGAGGATTGTGCCTCCTTCTCCAGTAGAGCATCTGGTGGATTCGAACTGCAAGCCTTTGAGATCGTGGCCCAGCTGCTTGCCACTAGGCCACCAGAACTCCCTTGGTCTCTTTAAATCAGTGCCAGAGTTGGACCAAAACTCAAAGCTTGCTGCTCTGATCAGTTAAATGGTACAATTATGAGAAAAGCAGGGCAGCAGGCTTGTGGTGGAGGTCCACCTACCACATCCTTTGGGCTGGGAGCCTCAGAGGGAACCTTGCAGTGCAGTGATTGAGTACTTGGTGAAGAGAAAAAGTTGGCATTGTAAACCTACCGGCTCCTCCTTGGGAGAAGAAAAATGTGCCAGATGACTTCCAGTAGGACTTACAGATTTAGAAGCCCTATTGGGCACTTCTATTTGTCCTACGTGGTTATATGAGTTGGAATAGACGTGATGAACCTCCAATTTCTGCTTGTGACAAACTGACACAGAGCATTTCTCTTGAAGGGGCTCCGATTTCTGTCTAGGGACAAGGGTGTGAGCCTCACCACCACCCCCAGCCAAACCTCTTACCTGTTGAGCGCCATGGTGACCGTGGCTCCCTGCTGCATCTCCTGAGAAGCGGCCACGGCAGCCTCTGCCAGGGATGCCACTGCCTGAGTGGCCTCGGAAGCTTGCGTCGTTTGGATGGTCATCTCACTTCCCTGTAACGCGGCCCAATTTTGTTCCACCTGTGGAATAAAGAACAGGACAGTAAAAAATTCCAGGGCACAAATGATTTCTGGCTTTAAATAAAATATTAAGCACTTGGCAAAATACTTTTTTTTGAAATAACTTCTAAATGGATTGGAAGGAGGAGTAGCATTCACTTCCATAAGAGCTTGCCCACAGAAACCCTATGAACCTGCAGAGAGGATGAAAGGCACCCAAGCGTCAAGGACTCTCCTTCATAGAGTCGCTTGCGACTCGACGGCACTAAACAACAACAACATCAACAGAGAGAGAGAGAGAGAGAGATCAGCTGGCCCAGTGAAGAGAAAACGATGTGACCAAGACAAAGGTGGGTGACTTTTAATTTGTGGCCCTCCGGCCAGTCTTTCATTGTTTTTGTTCAGACATTCCTTTAGGTCGTATAGCCCTGGTGTACAAGTTGCCGTCCCACGGTCACTTGTGGTTGCTGTGAGGCTGAACACTGTGACACGGATGCAGACTGAGAGTGGGGGGGGAGCTCCCCGATTAAACAAGCATCCACTTCCATAACAGCTTGCCACCGGAAACCCTATGAACCTGCAGAGAGGATGAAAGGCACCCAAGTGTCGAGGACTCTCCTTCATAGGGTCACTATGAGTCACCTGTGACTCGACGGCACTTAACTACAACAACAACATCACTCAAAGTGCAGAGCCTAGAAAACATATTACTCAGTTTTAACACATAAATCTATGCCTCCAGGCAAGCTGCTTAAATTCCATGCATCTCAGTTTTTCCTAGTTTATAAAAATGAGACAATAGAACCTATACTTCACAGGGAGTTGAATAACAGAAACTATACTTAAATAACAGAACCTATAATTCAGTGTAGTTCAGTAAGTGCTCAGTAAAACCAAAATCCAAACCGACTGCCAGTGAGTCAACTCTGTAATCAAGGCTGTAATCTTGAAGGAAGTTGATTTTCAACCAGGAGGAGCTGATGGGTTCAAACTGGCAAGCACGTGGTTAGCAGCGAAACACTTTGACCACTGTGCCACTAGGGCTCCTAAGTGACCAATAAAGGCTATGCTCATTATCATGCGAGTTAATTTCCCATCCAATTTGAAACAGTCGTCCTCAATGTCCCTCCCATGTATTGCAGTTAGGTGCTGTCAAGTCAGGTATGACTCACAGTGACCCTATGAACCAAAGATCTGAACCCTTTTCTCTCCTGCGCCGTCCTCACACTTCCTGACACACCAGAGCCCACTGCAGCCATCACCGTGTCAACCCACCTGGATGAGGTTTCTCATTTTCACAGGGCAGGGTTCTTGTGTAAAAATCCTTTCTACATCATGTTTAACAAAATAAATCATATTCTACGAATTCTTTCAAAAAGTGCTCACACAGATCTGTTTGTAATGGTTCCCTTCTTTTACAAAGTACAAAGACAAACTTCTTTGAGATTCATAGCAAAAAAATATTAAACATATATAACTTTTTTGTTGTCATACAAAATGCTTAAAAATGGAGTATAAGCTTCTGACTAGTAAGTTTGAAACTGCAACAATCCATGATTTCAAATGTTACAACTTAAATACAATCATGCTACCAAAAAAAATCACGCTCCGATGAGGAGACTCTCCCAGCATCTCCCCCTCCCACCCTGTCAAGGAAGTAAGTGCTTGACTAGATGAGACTGAATCTTCGTCCTTACCTCTCCGTCGGCCACAGCGGAGTAATTCACCTGGGCAACAGTGACTGTGGTTGGCAGCTCAGAAGCATCAGCCAATGTGGCTACTGTTGCCCCTGTACCAACCTAAAGACACAACAGAAAGGGAAGTGTTGGTAAAGGAATCTGCTGGTCTTCCTTGACTCAGAAATGGAGATTCACTTCATCCAAATACTGTGCAGGTGCCAATACGCCCCCTGAAAAGAGTCAGCGAAATAGCACCTTGGAGACAAACCGGACAGGCACGCTTCATTTTACCGAGCTTCACACAATCTGTATTTTACAAAGTGAAGGCCAAGGGCAATCTGTCAGGTGCCATTTTCCCAACTGCATATGCCTAATTTGTTTTTGGCAATTTTTACAATATTTATAAAAGTTTACTCACTGGACAACAGTATAGCGGAAATGGAACTTTTTAAAAAAAACCCATATATCCCTTTTTGTTAAAGTGGGCTCTCCTACCCATTCATCTAAACGTCATTGTTCAGCATGAAGCAGCTGGAGTCTATACCCCATTCTCAAACAAGAAACTCACAAATCAAAAAGGCAATTTCTTTGTGAAAAAGAAAAAAAATTAAAAAAATAAAAAGTTAATCACCATTAGACTATGCCCACCATTACCCTGTCTTTTCTGGTCCCCACCAGATCTTTCTCATTTCCTTTGCCCACTCCCTCCACCCACCAAATTGTACAACCCTGTGACCCATTTTCACTCTTCTGCTCTCAACCCTTACCTGTAACCCTGGATCCCCAAACATGTTTTTTACAATTAAATATATATATATATATAATTTTACATGCACTGGGCAATAAAAAGTTTTGTGTGACATGTTTTTCTGGGGTAGTCTAAAACAAGCCGCAGTATCTTCGCAGTAAGCCTGCAACGAGTGTTACATTAGCCCTTCTGCTTATTACTAGTTCCCAATGTCAGCCTATCAACTTTATACTCCCACCAAATTATGTTTTTACCTTGTTGTTGTTAGGTGCTGTTGAGCTGAGTATGACTCACAGTGACCCTATGAACAAAAGATCTGAACCCTGTCCTGTCCTGTGCCATCCTCACACTTCCTGACATACAAAAGCCTGTTGTAGCAGTCACTGTGTCAATCCACCTGGTTGAGGGTCTTCCTCTCCTTTGATGACCCTCCTCCCTTCCCAGAATCCTGCCCTTCTCTAAGGAACAGACCCTCCTAGCGATATGCCTCAAGTATGCCAGGACAATTCATCTCAGGGAAAAAAATACTCCCTAGCCACTGACAGAGTGACAAAGAAGTAATTTTTTTTAAGTACATATTTTTCTTATTATTGATTGGTTGGAAAGGATAGATGATGAATGCTACTGGAACTGAGCAGCCTAATATGAACAAAATAAACATTTTTAAAATTCCATGGCTGTTTAAAGATTAGTATCTCAGCAGAAAGATACAATATCACGTTCTGTGGCTCTGTGACAAGGTTTTATCACCCCTGGCAAACTGGTAAAACAATTTTAAGAACCATATTCAAACCACTTTTTCAATTATGTAGACAGTGCCAATGTTGCCTTCGACTTCTGAGAGTATTAAACTCCATTTCCACATTGGCCATGTCAATATCTCTTTATTGTTTTCCTACTCATATGTATAATCATTCATCCATTTGTTTCTAGAGTCACACTGATCTGGTAAATCTCTTTTTTCTCTCCCACTTGTAGTCAAATTCTCAGTTAGTTCCTCAAAGAAAAGGTCTCTTTAACTTCCCATTGTGCCCAGATCACATAATGCACTAAATGTGGGGTGGGCCAGTGGGTGGAGGCCTTGAGCCTGGTCTAGCGTGGGAAGTCTCGCCAGGCCAGCATCAAATTATCCCAAAAAAGAAGTAATTTTATTTTTTTTTTAAAGAAGTAATTTTAAAGTGCTAGCTGTTTTTTTATTTATTTAGGAAATGCTCAGGAAAGCTATCTGAAGGTCTGTGTTAGGCAAATACAACTTGTTTAAAATATTTCTGGAATCAGCGTCAGGTAGCAAGAATCTTGGGAGAGTTAGAGAAAGTTTCTGGGAAGAGCGACTCACCTCAGACACCACCCGTTCACTCACCTGAATAAGCGAGACAGTGCCATCGGGGTTGCTAAAGGTCTGCACGACAGTCTGTGAAGGTACAAGGTGGGCTATGCTGTGCGTTGCTGTGGCCTGTGTTTGTGTCTGCTGATCTTCGAAAGCATACAAAAGGTCTTCTCGCCCGTGCTGCTTGTAACAGTTCTTAACTATGGTCCGTAGAGCTTGCGTCCATGAAACCTTCCACCAGAAGACCAGGAAGCATGTAAGTCACAAAGAACTCGGGCACTCAGTCCCTTACCTCTGAAACCCCTTGGAGGGACAGCTGCGGGAGCGACACACAACAACTATGGGAAAAATAGGTGTCTATTCAACAAATCAAACAAAATGTCATAGAGGGTAAACTCTCATAGAACGACCTTCCACAGATCAACTCGAGCACAGGGAAACTTAGCACCAACTAGGTTACCACCAGGTTCCTCCCTGATCAAAGTCTGAGGAGCTCTGGCATTTTAAGCTGAGGTTAGCCTCTAGTAGTCTTCTTAGAGTGAAGTCAATGATTAGATACAGAGATTTTCAGTAAACACCCAACTGAAAGAACAGTGAAAGAATAATGCCCCATTTACTCTTCTTTAGAAGACATTTATCAGTCAACTCACTTAGTTGGCACTGGACATGTATTTTCCATGATATCGATATTTTACAATGGTGAGTCCAAGTCTTCAAAGCGATTAGCACATTTACTTTATGTTTATTCTGGTTTACCTAAGCACCTCATAAAATGAAAACTGCTCCCAAATACCACATAAAGAGAGAAGTGTAACTTCAAAGGCCTACCCAGGTTTCTCTTTAGAGTGACAGTGTGATAAATAGTAAACGTCTTTCAACTATTTCAGATTTTTTCACACTTTTTAGCATTAGGAGCAGTAATGGCAGACACCAGGGAGGCTGGTATAAAAGGGACATCAAGGACACTCACCCTCTGCTTCTGCTCTTCTGTGCGAACGTCGCTCCGGACATTTGCCCAGGGAATGTCTTCGGGCCACCAGATGGGCTTGCAGCTTTCTTTCCCCCAGCCTGGCTTTCCTCGACCCGTGGAGTACTTGAGCATCTCTGGGATAAATGCCCGAAGCTGGGCCTAGAAGACAAGGGTACAGGCATCGGTCATCACAAAAGTCTCTGGGATATGTGTATAGGCCCCCATCAAAAATCCAAGATTATAAAACAAAGAACTTTCCTACAGGGTTCTGGAAAATTCCAAAGGTGACTGATGAGGAGCATTCTTTCCTTTAAGTTACTAGAGCTCTACAATGACTAAGAATTACAGGCGGTGGTAACAGTGAACCTGAAGCAGAATTTCATGGACTTGTTCTATTAAGGGCAAGAGTCCCTGTCCTTGAAGTTTCATTTCTAAGATGCTGCTGATCCTATAGCTTATTTTCTCTCTATCATTTTCATGCCTTTAATATCCTGAAGTGATGGTGTTTTCAACATTGCTCTGGACAAAGCAGCTAACACAAAGATAAGGGGAAGAAATAGCGATGATCAGGAAACACCCGTCACTGTGTGGGGGAGGCGATGGATGATCTTGAGATCCCCCCCCCCGCCCCACTTTCCTTCAACACTCCAGAAATAGGCATCTTCCTCCACGGAAGGACAGTACCTCTGCAGTGAGAGCCAAGACAGCCCATCAACAAATGAATGAATAGCAAAGTTGGGGTATATTCACAAAATGGAATATTACGCAACACTGAAAAACAAAAATACTAATGAAATATTATACAAAATGGTGATCACAGAGGACACTGTTGTTGTTATGTGCCATTGAGTCATCTGTGACTCACAGCAACCCTATGTATAACAGCCCTAAACTCTGCCCTATCCTGTGCCAATCTCACCGTCTCCAACACACCTACCCCCATTACCCCAGTCACTGAATCAATCCATCTCATCGAGGGTATGCGGAGTGAAATACCTCAGTCACAAAAAGACAAATATTGCATAATGACACTGTTATAAAACAGAACTGACATGGGGATTGGGGGAACTAAGAAAAGAGGGGATAAATAAATAATGTACATGGCACTGAAACAGATGGAGAGAACTGTTGTATAAAAGGATTAGGTATTATTGGCATGACATGAGTCCAGAGTAAGAGCTGCACAGTAAAGTGGACTGGAGGAGGAGTATCTGTATAGCAATGAAAGATTTTTTTTTTCCAAAGAAATAAGCAAACGGGAAGGGGGGAATGGGGTGGGGCAAGGAAGAAAATGTGCAACAATGAATGAATGGAAATCTATAAACTTTCATTAAAATCTCAATTAGAAACCTCAACAACAAAAATGGCCAATAGAGGACACGTCAGCACTACGGCATGGATTTGTTGCTATTAAATAGAAAACCTAAACCAACCACACCACAGATGGGAACACCTATGTTTTAATGTGATACTAAGTATGAAAGCATTTTTAATACTGAAAAATCTGATAAGTTGGGTATTGTAATTCTTACTATATGAAATATTATCAGAATATCATGCAAGTTGTCATATCATAAGGAATCATGAGTCCACACCAGTCAGTCCTGTTGGCCTGAGAAAGATGGCTCTGCCCTGACAGGATTGTCTGACGGTATCAACACAGTCCCTTCTTGTGGACAGCTTGACCTCTCTAAGTACCCGTACTCCAGACAGTCTCCTCCCTACAGGGTATGATACAATACACTCCATACAGCTTCGGCTTTGCAGCATTCAGCTAATAGAAAGGGATCCATTCGCAAACCCAGGCTATAAGCTGCTCATGAGGTCACTCCTGGAGTTATTTTAAGAAAGTGCACCTCAAAGTCATTTTCCCTTTTATCCTGGTTTCTCTGGAGTATCATCTTCCAATTAGGTACACAGAGAAGAAAAAAAAAAGGATAATTCTCATGCATAATATTTATGCTTCTTTCTATATAAAAGAATAGCTTTTCCAGATATATAAACTCAATAATTAGCATAGTATTTTTCTTTTAAGCCCATTAACAGTCTTGAAAGCATTTATATCTAGGAGAGTCTAAAGATTAATCAGGGACTAACGTACTCAGAAGAAGAACTGATGCATCTGCAGTGTGCTACTGGAGAAGAGTACTGAACATCCCTAAGGACTGTCAAAAGAACAGACAGACACGTCTTGGAGAAGGTGCGGCTAGAACTTGTTGGAGGCAAAAATAACAAAGCTTTGTCTCACATACTTTTGTGAGGACGGTGCAGGATAGGACAGGGCTCAGCTCTGTTGCTCAAAGGATTGCTATGGGTCGTGTTTGTGTCAACTGCGCCTAACAACAACGATGTACATCATGGAGAACACTACAGAGGAGACAAGAGTCTTCCTGAACTTCACTTGAAACCCTATAATCAAATGCGTCGATCCAGATCCTTCACTGGGTTTCTGAGGCTCTAAATCTTAATGGGAGGAGACAGGCCATCTTTCTTCCATAGAACCTGGTGCCGAACCACCAGAGACATGCAGTCTTTCAGTTAGTTGTACAACATCCTGCTAAACTAAGTCAACGCCACCAGCATTCTTTATAAATTGTCTAGTTGTGATGATTTGCTCAGCATCTGATCCTCTATCCCATTTGCACCAATAGCTTCCCAGGCCCCTTGGGATGGGGTCAGCCCACATCTGGCTGTGGATATCGGGTTTTCAGCTGTGTTTCAATACTGCTCTCCCCTCACGTCCGCATCCACACACAGCCTTGCCAGACAGGTTTTCCTAAATGGTACGTAACTCCGACGCTCAGAAGCCTGCCCCCGGCTTATCTGCAGTCACTACACTAGACTCCTGCCCAGCTTCCGGGCTCTCCACAGTCTGCCCTCACCCTGCAGGCAGCTCCCCTGTGTCTCCCAGGTACTGACTTTCAGCAGGTGAATCCTCGTGCTGGTGACGAACTATGAGCAGCATACGGTGCCCCTATCACCTCACTTGACTTGTTTTCTTTGCTTGTGCACTTTCTTGAAAAAGCAAACTGTAACCAATCCTTCCCCAATGTAAAGATTCATTTTAATGACGAGAGCTGCTGGATTGAGTTTTTTTTTTTTAAATGGGTAGATAAGTCAATAATGAATGGAATACATCAGAAAGTGAGTCTCAAGGGCAACCGTAAATGAGGAAAAGAAGAGAAATAGAAAATTTTGAAAAGGTATTTTATAGACTGGAAAACTCTGGAGGTAAAATGTTTCCAACTTCCAAGAAGAAGACACCAGTGGTTGATCTGAGGCAGGAGAAATGGGAACAGCACAAAGGGAAGGTTAAGTGCACTGGTAGAACCCCTCTCATGTGGGGGAAGAGAAAGCAAAGTGAAAATAGTTCTGGACGAGCCCCAATTTAGGGACTGAGTTTTGCTTTTTAAAGGGCTAATTATTACTTGTATACTTTATTCCCACTTCAAACCCACTGTAGTCAAGGTGATATGGACTCATAGTGACCCTCACTGAGTTTCCGAGGCTTCAATCTTTGCAGCAGAGATCGGCAATCTTTCTTCTGAGCTGGTGGCTCTGAACCGCCAACCTACTTGTCAGCAGCTGGACAAGTTATACTCTACACACCCAAAAAAGGTCAAAAGCAGCTTCTACAAAGGTTTCTTTTTTCCAAGTCTATATATATTAGGGATGAGGTTCATGGTTTTCATTTAAATGTACAGAAATAATAAGACTTCATTGAAAAAAAGTAAATTTGTACTAGCTTTTTTTTTTTTTTAAATTTTTTACTAGCTTATTTTTTTTTATGCTTGTCTCTACAAAGAGCTAATGGGAACAGGACTCTGAAAAAAGAAAAAACTAGCTGTACAGGCCAGAAACGGTTAAATGAATCATCCCCAGAATTCAGCACCAAGCTTATTACCAGATGGATTAATTACTGGTCCTAGAGTCTTCTGAAAACTCAAGCCACTCGACATGCTTGTTAAGGAAGGTTTGTCTTTAATCCCCAGGGGAGACAATCAACAGGGTCAGCAGAGGGAAAGGCGAAGCTCTGAGGCTGTCCTGTGAGGAGCCTGGAATAAGCTTTTCTGGCCTCCCTCATCTGGACGGAGGGCTCTGTGTGAACTTACTGTTGCTGTCAGGAGCCGCCTGGTCAATTTTGACTTGTAAGACGGACAGCTTGTCCCACTGAGATTCCTAGACTCTAACACAGCAGATTCCCATAGAGGATTTTCCCCTCCCATTAGGTTTGAACCGTAACTTTTCAGTTAGCGGGTGAGTGCTTAACTCTTTGCATTATTGACCTAAAGTGCCTGCAAGGAGCCTTGGTGGGACAGTGGCTAAGAAGCACTAGTTAGTGAAAGGCTGGTGATTTGAATCAATACTCGCGGCTCAATGGAAGAACAGACATGCCAGGGAAGGCAAATGCAAAGATTATGTAGAAATTATAGATGGTTTTAAAATTTTAAGAATTTCCAAAACAGTAAGACAACTTACTTTAGCCAAAATGAAACAACAATTCTTACAGTGCTAATACTTGCCACTTGTAAATTCACTTGAATTCTTTGTTGTCCAGTAGCACATTGTGGTTGTGTTGTTGTGGTGTACTGGAAAGTCAGAACCGACCCATAGTTGACCCTCTGGTGGGTTTGCAGAGGCAGTTAATTGCACAGGAGCTGGTGGCCTCGAACCATGTGCCTTCAGGATTGCAGCACAGCTTCCTGCCACTAGGCCACGAGCGCTCCCTTAGTAGTGCATTACCTTTTTATACTCCAAAATTCCATTTTCCTCTCAGTCTTTGCTCTGTAAGGAGCCTGAATGAGGGATTTTAAGGCCCCTGATGTCTAGTTAACAGCCCTGGTCCTGTAGTGGGTTACATGTTAAATCATTAAGCCCAAGTTGGTGGTTCAAATCCACCAGCTGCTCCGCTTTTGAAGTCTAATTTATCTAATTTTTTATTTTGTTGACTTCTTTTGTTAAGTTCAATCTTCTCTCTGAAGTATTTTCCATTTGTTTTTGTTAACCTACCCTAGTTAAATAAATTCTGTACAAAAACTGAAACAATACAAGTAAAACCCAAGTCCTTTTTGCTATCAATTTCCCCAACCCAACTCCCTGTTCTGAAGAGACTTCTTAAACAGCCCAACTGTTTAGCTCTATAATATATGCTGAGAGGG